CCAGAGAGGAGCCGTTCTCTTCCTTAACACCCCGCACTCACCAACCTGACCACCCCAAAACGCAAGCGGCGGCCCCAGGATGGGCCCCGGGAGCACCAGACAGGCTCCGCCCGTAGCGAAGGCTACTACCCCATCAGCAAGAAGGAGAAGGACAAGTACCTGGATGTGTGCCCAGTCTCGGCCCGGCAGCTGGAGGGCGTGGACACTCAGGTGGGCCCGACCCCGCCGCCGCGTGCTCCTCCCACCACTCACCTCTCTGCCCTGCTCACCTCCTCCCTGCCCTGCATCTCACAGGGGACGAACCGCGTGCTATCGGAGCGCCGATCCGAGCAACGGAGGCTGCTGAGCGCCATCGGTACTTCCGCCATCATGGACAGTGACCTGCTGAAACTCAACCAGCTCAAGGTGAGACCGGGCTGCGGGAGGGCCTGGGTGGGGTAGAGTGGGGCAGGAAGGGGCAGAGGCCAGGGGACCACCCAACAAGCTCCTGTGGCTCCCTCAGGTGGAGTTGGGGGGTAAGCGGCCAGAATGCTCTCTGCCCAGGAAGTCTGGGAAGAGCGAGGGTCTGGGGTGTGGCAGGCGTCTGGCAGTTGAGTCTCCCTTCTGCCCCCCAGTTCCGGAAGAAGAAGCTCCGATTTGGCCGGAGCCGGATCCACGAGTGGGGTCTGTTTGCCATGGAACCCATTGCTGCTGACGAGATGGTCATCGAATACGTGGGTCAGAACATCCGTCAGGTGAGATTGCACTCCCAGCCCCGCCCCGGCTTCTGATGCAACAAGACGGCATGGGGGCTCACACACATGCCATTTGTCCTGGTTAAAGCCTCGCACACCCCCTAGCCCCGGTACCTAGCCAGTGAGACCAGCCTCCCTCCAGTGTGGTCAGCAGCAGGTGTCAGTCGTCCAGCAGGAGGCACAGCTGATGGCACTGCTCCCTGTTTTTTTTTTTTTTTTTTTGGAGACATAGTCTTTCTCTGTTGCCAGGCTGGCGTGCTGGGGCGCAATTTTGTCTCACTGCCACCTCTGCCTCCTGGGTTCAAGCAATTCTCCTGCCTCAGCGTCCTGAGTAGCTGGGACTACAGGCGTGTACCATGTGCAGCTAATTTTTGTATTTTTAGTAGAAACGGGGTTTCACCATGTTGGCCAGGATGGTCTTGATCTCCTGACCTTGTGATCTGCCTGCCTCGGCCTTTCAAAGTGCTGGGATAACAGGTGTGAGCCATCGTGTCCGTCCAAGCGCTGCTCCCTTTTTGTTTGTTTGTTTGTTTGTTTGTTTTTGAGACGGAGTCTCGCTCTGTCACCCAGGCTGGAGTGCAGTGGCCGGATCTCAGCTCACTGCAAGCTCCACCTCCCGGGTTCACGCCATTCTCCTGCCTCAGCCTCCCGAGTAGCTGGGACTACAGGCGCCCGCCACCTCGCCCAGTTAGTTTTTTGTATTTTTTAGTAGAGACGGGGCTTCACCGTGTTAGCCAGGATGGTCTCAATCTCCTGACCTCGTGATCCGCCTGTCTCGGCTTCCCAAAGTGCTGGGATTACAGGCTTGAGCCACCGCGCCCGGCCCGCGCTGCTGCCTTTCAAAGGGCCTGGGAAGCAGGAGGACAGGCACTGAACAAGTATCCACACAAAAGGATGGTGTTCCAGCCTGAGCAATATTGCCAGACCCCGTTTCTGCAAAAAATACTAAAGCTAGCCGGGCGTGGTGGTGCATGCTTGTGGTCCCAGCTACCCAGGAAGCTAAGGTGTGAGGATCACTTGAGACCACAAGGTGGAGACTGCCGTGAGCCAAGACTGCACCACTGCACTCCAGCCTGGGCAACAGGGCGAGGCCGTGTCTCTAGAAAAAACAAAAGCCAAAAGGATGGCATTTGGTATTCACAAGATCTGGAGAGTTGGGCCATGGGAACACACACCTGGGGGGCCTAAGACCTCCTGGAGACCATGGTGCTTGAGCAAAGCTGAAAGGAGCTCGCAGGCCCAGGCGAGTGGCATTGTGAGTGTGCTTGGTTGCGGGACACCACGTGCACCGGCCTGGAGGCAGGATTGTCTTGTGAGAGTATGGAGGTCAGCTTGGCTCATCAGAAACCAGGGCCATGGCCGGGCTCGATGGCTCACGCCTGTAATCCCAACACTTTGGGAGGCCGAGGGAGGCGGATCACCTGAGGTCAGGAGTGCGAGACCAGTCTGGCCAACATGGTAAAACCCCATCTCTACTAAAAATACAAAAATTAGCCGGGTGTGGTGGTGGGCGCTTGTAATCCCAGCTACTAGGGAGCCTGAGGCAGGAGAATCGCTTGGACGTGGGAGACAGAGGTTGCAGTGAGCCAAGATCGCGCCATTGTACTCCAGCCTGGGTGACAGAGCAAAACTCCGTCTCAAGGAAAAAGAAACCAGGGCCAGTGGCAGCGACATGCAGCTGGAGGCTGGAGGGGACAGGGAGCCCAGACCGCACGGGCTTGGGAGCCTGTGAATCCACTCAGGCCTGTGGCGAGAGAGGAGGAAAGCCCCAGAGCCTTCTGCAGGAGAGGGCCCCGTGGCTAGTGAGCTCCCTGTCTAGGCTGACAGCAGTGTCCAGGCAAAGGCAAGGGTGGCCCAACCCAAGCAGTGGCAGCAGAGGTGACAGAGAAGGTGCAAGGTGGTTGACTGAGCTCAGCAGTGAGAGGGTGAGGGGGATAGGAGGCCCTTGGTGCTGCTCTTAGCCGCTGGGAGTATGGTGGGATGGCCAGTGAGCTGGGAGTGAGGAGGAAGAACAGATATGTGGTCAAGATGAGCTCCAGTCTGGACATGTGGGGTTGCAGTGCCCCAGGGACATCTAGGGGACAACGCCCAGCAGCTCCACTGAGGTGGCTTTTGGCTGGAAATGGAAGTTTGGGAGGAGTCCCCACCACACAGCTGGCGGCTGAGGCTCTGGAAGGGAGTGAGGTCACCCGAGGAGGGCACGCAGAGGCTCCTCACTGTCTTCTGGGAAGTAAGGGTTGCTCCTCACAGGGGTGCGGGGCCTAACATGGGCGGCCTGCTATTTGCATTGGTCGGTGGCAGCCAACAGGTGCCTGTTTTGGAGAGAGGTCCAGGGAGGAGAGATGAGCAGGGTGCCATTGGTGACATGGCCACTGTCATTTCAGGAGCTGCCCCAGCCCCAGACTTGCCCCAGCAGTCCGGGGACCCCACTGTGATCAGGCAGATGCTCAAAGGAGCCAGTGGCTCTCCTTCCCGATGCAGATTTCCCTGGAGTCCCCTGCGGGTGACTTAGAATGGCCACCAGAGGCTTAGTATGCTGCCCCAAAGAGGGAGGGCTCCTGGAAGCAGAGTCGAGAGAGTCAGTGCCGGGTTAGCGGGAGCCGGAGGCAGAGCTGCAGCTCCAGGCCTGGTGGGCATGGACCTGGGGTGCTGGCTGGCAGGTGTGCTCGCGGGCAGGAAGTGGGGGGCTCTTCCCTGACCATCGCATCTCACCCTGACAGATGGTGGCCGACATGCGGGAGAAGCGCTACGTGCAGGAGGGCATTGGCAGCAGCTACCTGTTCCGGGTGGACCATGACACCATCATCGATGCCACCAAGTGTGGCAACCTGGCCAGGTTCATCAACCACTGCTGCACGGTGCGTCAGGGGCTGGCCGGGGCAGGAGTTCGGGGGTCGGTGGGGGTGGCCACGGCTCACATGCCCTTCCCTCCGCAGCCCAACTGCTACGCCAAGGTCATCACCATCGAGTCCCAGAAGAAGATTGTGATCTACTCCAAGCAGCCTATCGGCGTGGACGAGGAGATCACCTACGACTACAAGTTCCCACTGGAAGACAACAAGATCCCGTGTCTGTGCGGCACGGAGAGCTGCCGGGGCTCCCTAAACTGAGGTGGGGCAGGACGGGTGCCCACACCCCTATTTATTCCCCCTGGTGCCCTGAGCTCCCAGCACCCCCCAGCCTTAGTGGGCTCAGCAGGGCCCACATGCCCCCATCTCCAAGCGTGGGGTTGGGGGGCCCCAAGCCCAGCGAGGGAGCCTCAGTCCCTGGAGGCAGCTTCTGCCTCTCCTGTCGCCCCTGCCCACCACCCCCTGATTGTTTTTCTTTGCGGAGAAGAAGCTGTAAATGTTTTGTAGCAGCCAGCAGCTGTTTCCTGTGGAAACCTGGGGTGCCGGCCTGTACAGATTCTGTCCTAGGGGCTGCACAGTCCTCTCGCTTTGTGTTAATGGGGACTTCCCCTTATGCCCTGCGTGTACCCCTCCCCAGTTTAGGGGTCTCTGGGGCAGTGGCCATGTTCTCCCCCTGGGGGGGCTCTGCACCCCCAGTCCTGGGGACTCCGTGCCTGGAACCCTGCCTCATCTGTTCCTGCCAGACCCTGAGGGTCACCCTCCCACCCTGGTGTCACGCCCCGGCTCAGCCAGGCCAGGATGGCGGGGTGGGCCCCTTCTGCTGGGCTGGACTGTACATATGTTAATAGCGCAAACCTGACGCCACATTTTTATAATTGTGATTAAACTTTATTGTACAAAAGTGCTTGGTTGGTGTATTTGGGCAGGAGCAAGGGGTTGGGGGTGGAGGGCACAGAGGATTGGGCAAGATGAAGAGAGGGAAAAGTGAGTACCTGAAGTGTGAGGCTGGTAAAGGGGCCTTCAGGCAACAACCCAGACCTGTGGAGGCCCCGAGACTGCTTTGGACCCCTAGACAGGCCGTGGCAGCCGCAGCCGCACCCACACCAGGAATCCCCCACCAGTGCCCGCCAGGGCAGTGCCAAGGTCAGGCCTCCCCTTCCCAGAACCACAGCTGCAGCTGGGCCTCTGGCCTCCTGGGAAGCCCAGCGGGAGGGAAGGCCTGAGGTCACACTGTGGGATGAGGTCACCCGCTGGCTCCACCCATAGCCCCGGACCCCTTAGCCCACTCAGCAAGTTCCAGCTTCATCACCCCAAGTTCTCTGCTGGACCCGGATGCCAGTGGAGCACAGAGTGGCCGCCAGGGGGCGCCTTAGGGCAAGAGTGGTGGGGGTTGTGGCTGGGCGGGTCTCTGTTCCTGGAATGGGGCAGGAGGGAGAAGGAGGAGCCAGCGGAAGGGGACGGTGTGTGGGCTGGCCAGCCCTGGACGAAAGAAGAGGGCCCCTCCAGGCCAGTCTGGGCACCCTGGGACAGTGGCTGCAGGTAGGCAGAGGCGCTGCCAGTGCCCACCCAGGTGGCCTTTCCCTCCCTCCGGCCCTTCCCACCTTCCTATAACCTTCCCTCCACCTCCCTCAACTCCCGGCCTCCCCACCCTTTTACTGCCCTCAGACCTCTCTCCCCAAACCCTGACCCCTTCCTGTACCCCAAGCCCGTCCCTCTCTCCATAACTCAGCCATCAGCAGGGGCAGATGGCTGGTGGCCTGGTTGCTGCAGCTCCCAGGATCAGCTCTGCCCTCCCCCCAAACGCCAGCCTCGTCAGTGCTCCAGGGCACCTCCAGCAGTAACAGGTGGTTGCGGCAGGTGGCAGCCAGTCCCTGGGTGAGCCAAGGTCTTTTCCCCAGCCGGGCATGGCCGACTCTGCACAGGCCCAGAAGCTGGTGTACCTGGTCACAGGGGGCTGCGGCTTCCTGGGAGAACACGTGGTGCGAATGCTGCTGCAGCGGGAGCCCCGACTCGGGGAGCTGCGGGTCTTTGACCGACACCTGGGTCCCTGGCTGGAGGAGCTGAAGACAGGTTCGTGTTGGGGGAGCTTGTGGTGGAGAGGGTGTGGACGCTTCCCCATCCCTTCCAAAGCTGGGATCCCCACCCCTGCAGTGGAACAGATGATGCTGGTTTCTGTCCACATGGATGGGACGAGTGAGTCACATTGGGAACGTGACTCCAGAGTGGAAGATGAACCCAGTTTCTGGCCTCTGGCCCCAGCTGTGACATGGCCTGTGTCCTCCAACCCCGGCCAGGGCCTGTGAGGGTGACTGCCATCCAGGGGGACGTGACCGAGGCCCATGAGGTGGCAGCAGCTGTGGCCGGAGCCCATGTGGTCATCCACACGGCTGGGCTGGTAGACGTGTTTGGCAGGGCCAGTCCTGAGACCATCCATGAGGTCAACGTGCAGGGTGAGGAGCCCTGGATACTCCTGGCCATCTTGCTTGTTTGTTCCCCACTCTGTCTTTGGCCTTGACCTCCTGTGACTCCCCTGGGACAAGCTGTCCTATTGACAGCCCTGCCCCCGCCTCCCCTGACCTGTTGTGGTTTTTCCTGGACCTGGGATGGGGAGGAGGAAGATGCAGAGAGGGAGGAAGCTGCAGCCTGGATACACCCCCTCCTCTGCCAGGCACCCGGAACGTGATCGAGGCTTGTGTGCAGACTGGAACACGGTTCCTGGTCTACACCAGTAGCATGGAAGTCGTGGGGCCTAACACCAAAGGTCACCCCTTCTACAGGTGAGTGGCAGGCCCTCCTGTCCTCTAAGAGCCCATTTCCCTCAGCATTGAGTCTTCCTTCTCCTCCCGCCAGGGGCAACGAAGACACCCTATATGAAGCAGTGCACAGGCACCCCTATCCTTGCAGCAAGGCCCTGGCTGAGCGGCTGGTCCTAGAGGCCAATGGGAGGGAGGTGAGCCCAGAAATAGGAGGCACAGAGATGGGGCTCCGGCCCTGTACACTCCCTTACCCCGCCAGCCCAAGGAAGCTGGGGCTGAGAGCGAGCTGTCAGGTCTCAGGTCTCAGCAGTGCCTGCCTTTGCCACCAGGTCCATGGGGGGCTGCCCCTGGTGACGTGTGCCCTTCGTCCCACGGGCATCTACGGTGAAGGCCACCAGATCATGAGGGACTTCTACCGCCAGGGTCTGCGCCTGGGAGGTTGGCTCTTCCGGGCCATCCCGGCCTCTGTGGAGCATGGCCGGGTCTATGTGGGTGAGGACCGGGCTAGGCAGGGGGAGGCTGAGAATATGACAGGAGGACTTGCTCTAGAAGGGGGTGGGACCCATATGACCCTGGGAGAGGAGTGTGGACTCTGACTAGAAAAATGTGGTCTATACATGGGCCAAGGTAGACTGTGATTATGTGGGGAAAGCCTGTGATTATGTGTCTACACAGCCTGCAGAGAATACAGGATCCATGCAAGTTGGGATATTAAAAAGTGTATCATAGGCTACAAAGATTGCAGCTGCGGGAGCAGCCATTCCCCAGGAGAGGAGAGGAGAGGGACAGTGTCTACACAGCACTAAAAGGGCTGGGTTCAGCGGCTCACACCTATAATCCCAGCACTTTGGGAGGCTGAGGCAGGAGGACGGCCTGAGCCCAGGAGTTGGAGGCTGCAGTGAGCTATGACCACACCAACTGGACTCCAGCCTGGGCGACAGAGAAAGACCCTATCTCTAAAACTAAAAAGGGAGTAGCATCTACAGAGGGAATAATGTCACCTGCCGCTCCATCCTGCAGTCCCCAAGCCCCTCAGGGCCCACCCCACAAGTCCTGGCTTCTCCATCCTCTCCCCAGGTTCTTTGCAGATGCAGGCGGGCCCAGGAGAGCAAGTGACTACCAGGGCGAGGGAAACGGCAGCCTTTCCCAGGCTGCTGTGGGGATGTGGGTGGCAACTACCTGGACCCAAAGAGGGGGTGGCCCAGGAGAGCAGCCTCGATGTGGTGTCACAAGGGCGCTCAGGGGTGTGTCCGCCTCTCTTCTGCCACCGGCAGGCAATGTGGCCTGGATGCATGTGCTGGCAGCCCGGGAGCTGGAGCGGCGGGCAGCCCTGATGGGCGGCCAGGTGTACTTCTGCTACGACGGATCGCCCTACAAGAGCTACGAGGACTTCAACATGGAATTCCTGGGCCCCTGTGGACTGCAGCTGGTGGGTGCCCGCCCACTGCTGCCCTACTGGCTGCTGGTGTTCCTCGCTGCCCTCAATGCCCTGCTGCAGTGGCTGCTGCGGCCGCTGGTGCTCTACGCGCCCCTGCTGAACCCCTACACGCTGGCCGTGGCCAACACCACCTTCACTGTCAGCACCGACAAGGCTCAGCGCCATTTTGGCTATGAGCCCCTGTTCTCGTGGGAGGATAGCCGGACCCGCACCATTCTCTGGGTACAGGCCGCTGGGAGTTCAGCCCAGTGACGGCGGGGCTGGGGCCTGGAGGCCCATCGTGGCACATCCACCCAGGTCCTGAGCCCTCACACCCTGGACGGGAAGGGACGGCTGCATTCCAGAGCAGGAGGTAGGGCTCTGGGGCCAGAATGGCTGTCCTAGAGCCCTCCACATTTTTTTTTTTTTTTTTTTTGAGACAGGGTCTTGCTCTGCCACCCAGACTGGAGTGCAGTGGCGTGATCATAACTCACTGCACCCTCAGCTTCCTGGGTTCAAGTGATCCTCCTGCCTCAGCCTCCTGAATAGCTGGGACCACAGGTGCACACCACCACACCTGGCTTTTTTTTTTTTTTTTTTTGGTAGAGACAGGGTCTCACTATATTGTCCAGGCTGGTCTTGAACTCCTAGGCTCAAGTGATCTCTCCACCTGGGCCTCCCAAAGCGCTGGAACTACAGGTGTGAGCCACCGTGCCCGGCCCAAGCCCTCCACATCATCAATCCAGGAGCCTTGAGTCTGTGTTTTGTCCTGATGCCTCGAAGTCCTAGGGCTGTCAGGATACAAGGGCAGGGTTTGGGGACAGAGTATCCTTCCTCTGTCCTCTCACCCCGGTCCTGATGGCCGCTTGGTGAGGGTCGGTGCCCTGGCGACCTGCCCAGGCTCTCTTCTGGCTTTCTTTTTTGTTTTTTTTTTTGTTTTTGTTTTTTTTTTTTTTGTTTGTTTTTTGAGACGGAGTCTCGCTCTGTCGCCCAGGCTGGAGTGCAGTGGCGCGATCTCGGCTCACTGCAAGCTCCGCCTCCTGGGTTTACGCCATTCTCCTGCCTCAGCCTCCTGAGTAGCTGGGACTACAGGCGCCCGCCACCGCGCCCGGCTAATTTTTTGTATTTTTAGTAGAGACGGGGTTTCACCGTGGTCTCGATCTCCTGACCTTGTGATCCGCCCGCCTCGGCCTCCCAAAGTGCTGGGATTACAGGCGTGAGCCACCGCGCCCGGCCTCTTCTGGCTTTCTGAGCAGGAAGCGAGCAGAGGCTCCACAGGCTCACGCTGCTCTCCTGACATCCACGCATGACCTTCAGGTCTCAGTGCAGAGTGCAGAGGCGGCTCTGGTTCCTCCAGCCACCTCAGTCCCTCTTTGGGAGGTGATGTTCCCATTGTTTTTCAAAGGCCTCACCTTCAACCGTCTGTCTTAGAATTCCCCTCTGGAGGGCTGCAGCCTCCCTGCGCTTTCACTTCCCACCTCTCTACCCAAGTTCCTTCCCTGCACATCGCCAGCCCCAGGCCTGGGGATGTCCCAGATGCTGTACCTGGCTGTGCCCAGATTAAAAGCCTCATTCACGACTGTGTCCATCTGTCTGTCCAGCTCTCCCTCCCGCCCCCCGTGTCCGCCTCCCCACGGCGCCCATCCCACGTGGGGACAGAAGGAAGTGAGCACACAGCACGCCCGCTGTTGGATTGGTTGCTATTTCTCCCGTCCCACAGGGCCCGACCTGGCCCGGGGTGGGGTGGGGGGCTCTGGGGACAGGACATGCAGGGCGGAAGGGGGGGTGGGGGCAGGATTTTCCTGTGTTTTATCCATTTGCAAGTTGGTCACCAATAGAGAGAAATGGGACTCTGAGGGCTAACAGGAGAGGGCGGCCTGGCTCTGGGCCCCAGCCAGGCCCCAGGAGTCCTGTCCCCTCTGGGGAGGGGAGGGAGAGAGCTCTAGAAACCAACGGAGAAACAGAGAAGGGGGCAGGGGCTCATGTCAGCAAACACAGCTACATCACGTGACACGCCAGCGACACAGAAACACACGCCAACGCACACGGCTGCACAGCGGGCAGGGGCGGTTAGGGGAACGGGAGCCGGGGGCCACCCATCTTGTCCTCTGCGGGGCGGGCTGGGGGGCAGGGTGAATGCATAGAACACGTCATGTGTACACGCTCAGGGCGTGGCAAGAGCGTGTGACCCACGGGCACATGGGATGGACACGCAGTGTGCTTCATGAGGGACGGGAACAGGGAGGAGGGGGAGGAGGAGCACTGAGCCCTGGCCAGGCCCGGGACCACCCGCAGGGCACACGTGGGGCACACGTGGGCTCGATGGTTGTAGGCGCCTGGGCAGGCGGCACACATTTGTCCGAGAACATGCAAAAGACACCAGCCCCCAGACCACACACCAGGACGCACACAGACAGCAGCCCACAAGCAGACACATCATAGGATGCGGGGGACGCGTAGAAAGTCAGGGCACAGCAGACCCTTGGAGATCCCCTGGTCCACCTGAGGCCCAGAGAGGGGCAGCTGTGGGCCCGATGCCACTCCAGGCGGTGGGAGCGGTGCCCCAGCCATGCTGCAACCCTTCTCCTGTGGCCCCAAGGCCGTGGGACTTCCAGAAACACCTGGGCTGAATGGGGGTCCTGTCCAGCCAGGCAGAAGAGGGGACTGGGGGCTGGGGTCTGCTCTGGCATCTCCCAGGCAGCCCGAGATGGGAACAGGAAGGCTGTGGCCAGACTTGGGGCAGACTTCCTGTCCTGCAGAGGGTGGTTCTGGGAAGGGACAGGCAGGCCCCCAGGTCAGGACAGCCCACCCGGGGTTACGCACATGGCCATACTGACACGCACACAGGACAGGGGAGAACTCGGCTGTCTGAGCTGGAGTAGAGGCGGAGGGGTACTGTGTTCTGGGAGGTCACATCTATATGGCCACACACACACACAATGCACACACACAATGTGCACACACACAATGTACACACACACACAATGTACACACACACAAATGTACACACAAGTACGCTTCACATGACCTGGGACCCCGGGGTCCACACACACACACTGAGTCCCTCGCCTGTGCACACATAAGCCCCATGCCAGGGCACGGCACATTTGTGTACTTGTGTGTTCACCTTTCATGCTGCTGGGCCACAGAGCGGGGGCCTCTAACACTGTCCTTTCTCCCACGCACCACCTACCTGCCACCAAACCCACAAACTGTGCCTGTGCTGGCAACACAACAGGGGAGGTGCTAGCCCCTTCCTCGCACCAGAAACCCAGGCCTGTGTACCCCTCAGTCGCACCCTGGTGTGGGGAGCAGCCTGAGGGCTCAGCAGGAGAAGTGTCAGGGATGGGTCTTGGGACCCAGCCCACCCTGAGTGGCCACTGCCACACTGGCCACTCCAGTAAGTCTGAAATAAACAGTTCCCCAAACCCGAGTTCCCTGAGGCAGAGCCCAGAGCATCCGATGGGGCAGTGGGGGACACACAGTCCTCTCCCAGGTCCAAGGCGGGTGTGTAAGGAAGGGGTCATGTCCTGATCTTTGATCTGTGCAGGGAAGTCCTTGGCATTTTGCCTCATCAGTAACATTCCTACAAGTAGCCCTTTCCTTCCAGGAGGCATTCGTGTGGTCCCTGCACCCATGCCAGCATGCATGGTTTGTGCCTGGTGTGGCCCCTGCCTGGGGCCACCTCAGCCTTGCCATGTGTGAGCACACTGAGGGGTACCAGCTTCCAGGGGCTCGGGGCTATGCTGGGCTGGGCGGAGACACGGAGGAAGATGAGGATCTGGGTGTGAGTGTGCAGAGCCCTGAGGCCAGGCAGGCAGGAAGCTCTGGCTGCACAATGATGTAGCCATGTGTGTGGCCACACGGGCACTGGGCAGCACCTCTGGGGAGAGGGGCGGGGCAAGGACAACTGGAGAGACAAACCCAGATGGGGCCACATCCTTAGAAGTGTGTGTATACGCACATGTGTGTCCGTGTGTGTATTAACGCAGGGCAGAAACACACCATGCAGGCCAGGCGTGGTGGCTTAGGCCTGTAATGCCAGCACTGAGGGAGGCCAAGGTGGGAGGATCACCTGAGGTCAGGAGTTCGAGATCAGCCTGGCCAACATGTCAAAACCTCATCTCTACTAAAATACAAAAATTAACCGGGCCTGATGGCAGGTCCCTGTAATCCCAGCTACTTGGGAGGCTGAGGCATGAGAATCGCTTGAGTAAGGGAGGCGCAGGTTGCAGTGAGCTGAGATCGCGCCACTGCACTCTAGCCTGGGGGACAGAGCAAGACTCCGTCTCAAAAAAAAAAAAACAAAAAAAAAACAAAAATAAAAAACACACCACGTAGAGAGCCCCTAACACACACACATGCACGCACACGCATGCCACACACACACAGCTGCATTCTAGGTAGCAAGGGATATACATTTCTGTGCCCTCCCAAAGCAGGTGGCCAGTACGCAGTGTGGAGGGCTCTATCTGAGAAGACCTATCAACACTTCAGGCACATCCTGGACACACACACACACACAGACACACACACACCCTTCCGGGACACACTGCAGCCCCTGGAGTAATGAAGACATGGGGTGTCTGCCACGGCCTGCGTGTACCTGGGCCTCCCTGGATCCTCTGAGAATGTGAGTGTGAGTACACACACACCACCCGCCTGGTTTGTAGCAGACACAAAGGGCTCGGGTATCAGTGGCTTCGTTGCTGTTGCATTAGGTTCAAACACTCAAACACAAAATTCCACGTACACAAATGGCGTGTCCACAGATCTGTGGTCTCACTCACACACACACACACCGTTCACGGAGGACAGAGGGGGCGTGGTGGGCAGCTGTGTTACACTCGGCTGCAGTCTACACAACAGCCCTGGTGAAGGGGGAAGCTCAGACCACGCACACATACCCGAGGCGGGGGCAGGGGGGTGGTCTGGTGCATCACACACATCACACGCACACACACGCTGGGGTGTCCACACGTCTTGAGCATGTGCCGGCGGCATGCATGTTGGTGTGCATGTGTAATCACGCCTGCTGCGATCTACGTGCGGGGACAGGGGGGGTCCATGGCCGGGTAAGGTCCAGGGACACCAGGGTCTGCCATGGGGGTGGAGGAGGGGTGGGGCTGCCTGGGTCTGTTTTGAGGGTGAGCCTGGAGCAGGGGATGGAGTGAAAGGGGTGGTGGGGGTATTGCTCCCGATGTGGTGGGGGAGGGGTCTGGGAGAGAGAAGGGTGGGGGGCCTACAAGCCCAGCGTCCCCCCAATGGATGACGCCAAGACCACCCCCAGCACCACACAGCAAATGATGATCATGATTTTCTTCTGCAGCAGAAAGAGGAGCGAGACAGGGAGACAGTGAGAGAGACCGACACATGGACAGATGCAGGGACAGACGGGGCAGAGGGTGGCAGGGAGAAGAGGGGAGAGAAAACAGAAACAGGAAGAGGTCAGAGCCAGAGATAAGGCTTCCCACCCGCTGCCATCACTCACCTCAGCCCGGGCTCAGCCTTGGGCTCCCCCGCCTACCCCCAAGCCGCCTGCCCCGCTCACCCTCCGGGCCTTGCTCTGATATTTCACTGCTTTCTTGGTGTCAGACACAGCTCGCTCCACGTAGTCTACAGAATGTTCCACATTGTACTCGATGCGGTCAATCATCTCTCCCTGCAGACAGAGGAGATGTGCACAGGGAGGGATGGGGACTAGGCTGGAAGAGGGGACCTCGGGCCCAGGGAGGTTCCCAGGGTGGCATGGGTGGCAGAGCCGGTACCTGGCTCTCTACAAGCATGGCCATGTCCACAAACATGTCGTGCAGCTCACGGATGCTGGTCTCCAGCTTGATGATCTCATTGTGCCTTGTCTCGATCTCATTCAGCGCCTGCTTCGTCATCTGTGAGTCCATTTTGATCTAGGGCGACGAGGGAGAGAGCTACAATTCCCCTTCACCCCAATGAGCGCCTCCACCACAGCGGAGTGGCCGGGGCCAAATCCGA